GCCACCAACCAGCCAGGAGGAGTCCGAGCTCCAGGAGGAGGGGTTAATGTGGGAGGGGTGGTGGTTGGGGGTTTCTCTAAATATGAACCAAATATAATTAAATTATTTTCTTGTTTCAGATGCTGAAAAACAGCCGGAGGTCAGCTGCTCACCTGTGACCCGGACCCGGCTGGAGGGGGACCTGTCCCCCCCGATGGAGCAGCTGTAGAGGCCTTCATCAGACCTGTTAACAGGCTGGAGGGTCATGTGACCTGTAGGCTCCGTCCTGATGAGGGAGCCCTCTTTATAGAATAAAGCAGCTGTGTGGCTGGAGGGGGGGGGGTCTGCTGTACAGCTCAGAGTGAGGGCCCCCCCCTCCATCACAGGGAGGACAGGACTCTGCAGGATCACTGGTCCACCTCAACACAGAGACAGACTACAGCACTTCATCCATTTCCACACAGCTTCATCAGCACTAACTCCACAGTCTGATCTTACCAGAGACAGTGAGGGGGGTGCTGGGACCGGCCGCCCCCCCGCCCGACTCACACCAGTAAGCTCCACTGTCCTTTTCCAAGACAACACTGATCTTACAGACGGAACCGGTCAGTTTTCCCCAGCCGTCTCCACACTGGGTCCTGGTTCCTCTGCTGGTGTTCCTCCTCACAGTCCATCCAGCAGAGCTGCCGTCCTCCTCACAGCTCAGAGACACAGAGGCTCCTCTGAAGAACTGAGAGCTGCTGGGACTCACAGTCAGAGCAGCTTGGTGTGTGGAGCCGCTCAGCAGTGAGGTCACAACTGGAGAGGAAACACACTCAGGTGGGTTTGAGCTGGACTGGAGAACTCAACAGCATAAAGCAACAAGCTGAGGAAAGCAGAGCTCAGAAGAACAGAGCAGGAACCCAAAGATGTGCTCTGAGAGCCCTGATGGAAAGTCCCAAAGCAGAGCCTTCCTTCCCTCTGTAACAGTCAGGATGCAGACACATGGGAGCGTCTGAGTCCGGACAGACAGGACTAGCTGTCTGCAGACGGCTTCTGCTTTAGTCTGGACCAAAGCAAAGGGCTCTCACTGTGTCTTCTGAGCAGGCTGCTCACATCTGGAGCCTTTCAGCCTGTTTCTCTGGCTGTTTGTGGCCTTTCTCTGTGCCGGCTTCCTGGTTAAAGCCCCTAAAGCTCCTCCTGAAGCAGCTCATCATGCTGCATTTCCACCTGACTTCAGCCTGACCTGTTTCAGTGTGCCCCCCCATCAGAAGTCGTCCACAGAGCAGAAACAGAGAAAACAGAGAAAACAGAGAAAAGCGTCTCTACTTACGGAGCAGGTACTGAGCACATGCCTCCATCTTTGCGTGTGTCTGTCTCTTGGCCAGTGTGAGGTTTTTACCCCAGATGCAGCCCGCCCCCTTCCTGTTACTCAGCCTGTGTGGTTTTTTTCTCTTTGTACGGTAGTGGGTCACATGCTTTTAAGTTACTTAAAGGTACAAATGGTGAAATATTAACACTATAAGTTGGACCACAAACATTGTCTTTTTTCTTACACTCAGTTTCTGGAAACACAGCAGAGATGGAATTAACAGAGATGTGAGAGGGAGGTAGGAGGGACTGTTGGAGCTAATCTCAGGTGTAGGAAGTTGTTCTTTCTGGGGGGGGCTTCAGTGTGGGAGGTACCGACAAAAGGACTTAGGAGGGCCAAATGCTATTTCAATGTGGGCCCTTGTTACATAAACACTCTTCTGATGGTGTGGCAAATAGTGGCTTTGGAAAGGATTTCAGCATCCTCTTCTGTAAACAGAGGTCATCTGGGAGCGAGGACCTGGCTCCACACAGTGCGGTGCTGGATTCGGGTTGCGGAGCCCATCCTCAGAAGGTCAGCAAAGGCCAATGGGTCAGCCTGTCCAGACACATTATTTCACATCTTAAAGCTCATCGACAATAGCACGCCATTGTGAAGGCACATGTGGTCGGAGCCACTTAAATGGCATGACTCGACCGCCAACACCTTTGCTTCTTTATCATTTATCAAATTTATTATAGGCTGTTCGATTAAAGTAGTAATTGTACTCAACGGGATATGGAAATACATTGGTGGTATTTTAGAAATCTTTAGAAATAAAGACAAACAGATGAGAAAATGTTATTGGTGAGACAACACATTTATTTCTGATTGGCTTGACTTCTGATTGAAACTGACTGATTCGTCACCATGGTGACCTTTGAGCTACTACTGTTGTGAAACAGGGGCTTAATTAAACCAGGATATCTGGGAAATTTTGGCTAAATCCGCCATCCTGCTTTTGTGAAACAGCCCTCTGAAGTATTACTTTGAATCGTAGCTTTTCTGTGTTCCGCTCTAAGTGGTCCGACTGGAACGAAGTGCAACACACAATTGTTCCGCCAGTTGAAAATCGTTGAAAAAAGCTTTTTATTTGTTTGGTGTGGATGGGGTGTCCGGTTTAAGTATTATGGGGGCTCTGGCTTGTTTTGCTCGCTCCCCAGAACCATAGGTGAGCCGTACGAAAAGGTTTTTCCTTTTTTTCAAATTTCCCGCGATTTGTGTAGACGAAAAAAAAAGAAATGCAGTGCCCGCCCCGCGAGTCATGTCGCCCCAAACATTTCGGTCCATCTGTCTGAATCTGCTGGCCTTCAGCTCCGTGATAACGGGTGCAGGTGAGTTTGTGTTTACATCTCATGGTCACGTGACCCCTTCCGCTCCATCCTGCGCTTAAATTTTGGGAGGCTCAAAACTCCGGACAATGACCGGACAGGCAGCCTCTCCCCGTGAAGCCCCTTCCTCTACGGAAGTGGCGTTTGAAACGAATAAGCTCATCTACGAAGACGCAAACGGGATTAGCAGGGCTCCTTAGTTAGTTTAACAATCGTCCAGGAGATACTTTGTAAGCTGATAACGTAATAAAGCTGTAAATTTGAGGTGGGGTCCAGGACGCCAGCTGGTCACGTGGCTCATGTAATTCCCGGAAGTCTTCAGCAGCTTATAAATGATCCGTTGTTATATCGTGTACGGATAGGTGTGTTGTTCTTCTTATTTTATAATAAGTATAGGAGACGTGTTAACTGAATTGGTGGTTTTATTTAATAGCTCCGGTTTAACTCCCTGATACGGAGCTATATCCAACATCCCTAGCAACTCTCGTGGGGCTACCACACACTGAACCCTGTTGCATGCCGGGTATTGGAGTTCTAGAGCTATAACATCGCAATAGGTGCGTCTGAACTTCACCGTGAACCCCCCACAGCCGTGTGCGGATGGAGCTGAGCAGATGTTACACATTTAAGACACAGCTGGAAATGCTGACGTAACACGCACACTCCGCAAAGCCGACTTTATTTGAGGGGAGGAGCCGAAAATGATGCTGTACAAACCTGGTCAGCAGGTGGCTGCTTCTAACAATTTTTTGAGAAAAATGAACCTTTTGTCAGATGTCTCAATGCATCACAAGGACTCTTCACCATCACCAGCTGGAACAAACTCAGACTTCCCAGAGCTGTAGATGGAGTTGGTGTGATAGCTTTAAATGAGAGGGGCCTTCTGCTGTTTGTTTGAAGGTTGAAAAAACATCTTGGTGCTTCGGCACCACCAACTGGTCAGGGTTGTGGATCAAAT